GAGATTCAGTAAATTAATGTCTGACTAGGACAAAGAGAACTCCGTCCAGCTCCCACCCAGCCTGTGCCCCAGCCCGTCCTGTGAGTGCTGGCGGGGCCGCCTCTCTGTCTCTCTGAGCTCCCCCGGCAGCCTGCCCAGCTGCCCGCGGGGCTGAGGCCTTCTCCGCCTCCGCTACGTTTCAGCAAATAGTCACGCAACACGAGCCTGAGCACTGGCCAGCTATGTTCTCAATTCTGTGTGTAACTCTTTCCCAACGTTTCAGTAGGGCAGGAGATCGATAGAGACAAACGATCAGGTCTGCTACTAAAGCAACCAAACAAAGCATTGGCAAGTCGGCGGAGCCCGGGCTAAGAGAAAAACAGAGGGCCCAGAGTGCAGAACGCCCCCACGCAAACCCTTCGTTTACTCCATCACCGTCTCCAACCGGTTGAGCTCTTACTATGCACGAGACACCAGTTAGGAGCTTTGGTGGGCTACACAGTTGAATAAAACGCAATTCCTCTCCTTGGGGAACAGGCATTCCTTGGAATCATTCCAAAAGAGTGATGCAGTGAAGGCACTTCCAGCCAAATTTCTGAGAAACTGCTGAGCCTCCTTGAGTGCCATGTTTCTGTGGCCAAAGCACTCCCTGGGACACCTGATCTCACTCCTAACGTCTGTCCCTTGGCCCTTGACGCACAACCCGGAGCACCGAGCGCTTCAGGGGGATGTCAGCACTGCGCTCCCCGCTGCCCCCCACCAGCCTCTCACCAGCACACTCTCAGAAAAGCTGTGACGTTATTCCTGCGCATATTTCCCTACATGTATGTATTTTTGTGTTTTAAAACAACAAATTCTGTTTCTAGCAGAGTTTAAATGAATCTCACTTGGTTTCTTGCCAGAAAAGTAACAAAAGGTTACATTTAGATGCCGCGTTGGCAACAGGAAAAAGAAGACAACCAACACCCCCGACCCCCTCCTGGCCCCTCCATCCCTTGCTCTTCTCCAAAGAGTCAGAGGAGCCAGAGCTAAAACTCCAACTTGGAAACTTGAAAGGAAAATAAATTACATACGAAAGCCTGAACAAAGATCACTTTTTAAACTGTCCTTGTGAGTAAAAGCAGATGTGGTGAAGTATTAATAACTGGTGAATCTAGGTGACAGTGAAGGGTCGTTATTCATTGTGTTCTTTAACCGTTTCTTATGGTTTGAAATTTTACAAAATAGCAAGTGGGGGCAGGGGATCAGCCTCCCCCTGGAATCACCCTCTTCTTTCATAAACTCTCATACAAGCTCTGTAATCCTCACAACTGTCATTCTCTTAATCTGTGATAAATTGCTCTAGAACTGGTAAGTGTTGATTCTATTCTGATTAATTTAGCCACCAAACACTGGATAACTTTCAATGAGAAATGATTCTTTAAAATGGAATTGAATATACCAAGGCTTGTGGGTGTACACTTTTTTTTAATAAAACTGGGCAATTTGCCTATATATAGTCACGTGAAAGATTATGAATTTTTTTTTATTTTTGGTTTATTTATTTTATTCATTATTTTTTTACATATAGCTTTAGAGACAAAGAAATGGACTTTGTGGAGTCGATGAAACCTACTGCCTGTGTTTGGGAAGGTGAGGACCTTAATGCTGAATGTACATGGTTGGTTCAGGGGATACAGCGTTTGATGTGTGGACAGGAGGTTTCTAGACCCAGGCCCACCCTATCACTCGCTACGCAACCTTTGAAACAAAAACGACTCCTCTTCCAGCGAATGCAAGTTTCTAACTAAAATGAGAGCCAAGACCAGAGGACTGGGAGTAGTTTCTGATGGTCTGTGCAGCCTGTGTGCTGCTGTCTCGGCCTCCCTGCATCGGTCCCACTCTCTAAGTTGGTATCAACCAAGGTGATATGGAGAAGATGCTGGCAAGAAGCTGGATTCCACTACCTCTTAATGAGACCAAGGCGAAAACCTTAATCCCACCACCTCGAAAATGTATACCACTGATCCTGAGAGGAACAGCATGAGATTGCACAGTTAACAACTTGCCAAGCTGTTGGCGAGTTGAAGAAACAGCGTCCTGGGTGGTGGTGAGCACAGCACAGTATCGTCTCTGATTACCCAGTAGGTATTCACAGCCTCAGGGGCCTCAGCCTCCTGCCTGGCCGCCCTGGGCTGCCTGAGCCTGGCAGCTGCAATGCCCCTGCTTTCTGACCGAGTGACACTCCCAAACAGGGGATTTAGGGACAGAAATGCCATCGTGGATTTTGTTTGCTGTGGCTTCTCTTTTCCATGACCTGAGTCAAGACACTCTGTCACTTGGACTTGCCACAAAGTGAAGAACTCTGGCCCTGGAGTAGGAACAACCTGGAGTCCAGTCCTCCCAGCTCTTGCACCTGTCTGCATGGCGACCTCGGGCCAGCGACTCAACCTTTCTGGAGTTCCCTCCTTCTCTCTAACAGAGAAGTAATGGTAAGACAAATCTCAAAATAATCTCAAAGGACTCTCATGAAGACACGACGAGATGACACGTGTGAGGTGTTGAGCCTGGACCTGCACCACAGTAATCTTGAATAAATTTAAGCATTAATATCTCTTCTACAACAGGTTACTGTAATTTTAACACATTGATTGCCACACTAGAAAAAAAATTTTTTTTCCTTGGGCCCACGGTGTTTTCTTAACAAAAATAGAATAAAAACTTTAAAAGCAAAACAATCCTTTCTAATTTAATGAAAAATTTGTTATTTTTTGTTGTTTCCTGTGTTTTCTTTGACAAAAAATAATATAAAAACTTGAAAATTAGTAATGTAAAAAGTAATGTGAAAACTTGAAAAATAGTTCATAAGGGTAAAGTGTTTTTCTTGACTTGTCAGGCTTAAGGGTAATTTAAAGGTAAAAATAAATAGAAAACTAAAATTTATTGAGTTCTATTCATTTAATCCCCGTTTTTAGAATTAAATCGTCAATATTAATTGTAACAATAAGAACATCAACAAGCAAGATCTTCATGAACTAACTGCAGGGTTTTGCCCAGGGGCCCGCCCATCACATAACATGTATGTTACAGCATGGCAGCATGAGTTGCATGTGCACCACGCAGCTCCCAAGGTAAAGAGACGTGTGAGTTACATACGCTTCACAAGGTCCCAGGCTCAAAACTAGAGTGAATTAAATACAACTCACAGGGCAGTTAATGTGTTAGTTTAGGTGCCTTCAAAAAATAAAGACCTAAAAATAAAGACCTCTTTTCTAAATGGAATGGTTTAGCTTTCAATAAAGGTCTAAGTTAATGTTGTTTAAGGTAAAATTATTTCCATGGCTTTTTAAATGTATTCTCATCAGATGCTTTAAAAGAAAAAGATAAAATATTTCATATACCAATGCATTTTTTAAGTTAATAAAATTATAGTAAAAAATAGCCTCTGAGATTGCTGTACAACAGGGGCTGGCAAACATTTTCTGTAAAGACCAGATTTTAACAGAGGCTTTGTGGCCACTACGAAGCTCTGCAACTGCACCGCAAGAGCAGCCCTGGACAACAATGCAAATACGTGGGCGTGCTAGGTCCCAGTAAAACTTTACTTATGGATGGGGAGGTCTGAACTTCATATACTTCTCACATGTCATGAAATATTCTCCTGATTTTTTCAATCATTTAAAAATGTTAAATCCATTCTTAGCTTTGATACTGTACAAAGAAGGGCACCTTTGGTCCATGGGCTATCAACTGACAACCCTTGCTATACAAAAATAAAGATATGGAGAGATATACGGATGCATTCGGAAAGTCATAAAATCTACTAGGAAAACACATTAGAAATTTAGTTTATAACACTTTGCTATAAAACACAATTTTATTGATCTTGAAACACATCTAAATGGGTTAAATTTTCTTGATATGAAAAAATAACATACTTAAGAGATAATTCTATGGTAATATTAAATAACAAGATTAAAAATTTTAATGGATTTTATGTAGTATGAGGGAGTTTTTTGAGTAAATGATTACTTTATTTTTGAAATATTTGAAAATACGAATATTTTGAATGAATCCTGAATAAAATTATTGTAGTTTTTCAGTAGGTGAATGTTTTAAACACTCTGAAGATTTCAGAATTTAAAAAATGCACATTCATACTTTTATTTCTGAAAGATGAATCATTTCAAAATGGTCAAATTTAAGAATATTTTCTTAATATCTATAGTATAAGAAAAAAGGTAAATATAATTTACATATAAATACATACAGAAATATCAATTGAAATATAGCTGATAACTCTATTACTTAAAATATTTTATCAAAGCATTGCTGTACACAGTATTTAAACTCTCATATGGCCTTAAGTTATTTTTCTTTCAACTGCAAGTCACTTAGAGATAAAAAGCATTTAAATAAAATACAATGTCAAGCTTCACTTAATGAACTCTGAATGTTTCATAGCCAAAGTTTTAAATGGTCATTTTTATCCAGTTTTAATTTTTAAAACGTATCACATAAGCGCTACATTCTTTTCAATGATGCAAATTTATTAATGACAGAAAAACTCCTTTTTTAATCTCTGGAAAAAAACTCTTCTCAGTAATATGGAATCAAATAAAAATATAGATAAGTTAGTTGAAACCAGACATAGAGTTTCCAGCAACAATAAATTAAAACTAAAGGGAAAATATTAAAACCACCTTTCATGTTTTCAGGACATCAAGATCATCATTTTAAAAGCCCTGAATACTGGACGTAGAGAAAGCTGAAAAATATTTCCTTTTTATTAAAAGACATGGTATAATCCTTCAAAATATCCTTTGTGATATATGATCACACGTAAAGAACCTCACCCCTCGTCAAAAAATAATGCAGTTTCACTAAAACGTGAATTTGAACACTTTTCATAATTGTTGAGTGGTTTTATAAAAATAAAGCCGTTTCCTTAGGAAAAAAGAAATTCTGCCAATTGAAATACATATCTTCATTTTTAAAAAGAAAAAAAGGTGTTTTCGTCTGAAAATAATGAAATTCGGTCCCTGGCTATATGAACATTCATTGACTTATAAATAAAACCAAATTATTGTGCTCCCAGAAAGTAGTTCTGTTTAGTAGCACAGTCTAAGATTGCATCTGGAAACTGTCACCAAAATGTTAAGATTCAAAGCAAGCATCAGCTAACAGAATTGGACCTGCTGAATCACTTTCACCACTATAAATGCATTTGTCCGAAGGAGCTGTTTAGTGATGGTGTTCTGCCGTCCTGTAATTTCATCTAGAGTTTTCTTTTTCCAACCACATTTTCACGAATGTTTGAATTTATATTTAAACTCGATATCATTTAATGGTGGTAAAATGCCCAACCCTGCACGGGACTGGTCCAAAGGGGGACATTTAACATGGTCGTCCACAAGCTCCAGTTCAAAACAGGAAAGCATCAGAATCAAAAATTGCTTGATTTCATAGACAGCAAATAATCTTCCAGGACATATCGTAGCTCCTGATCCGAAGGGCATGTAGTAATACTTTAACTTGAGTCCATTGCTGTAGAAGGTGGTCTTTGTCTTCCCATTTTCATCAAGAAATCGGTCATATTTAAAAGTCTGCAATAAAAATACAAAGAAAACAAGCCTCTAAGCTATTTTTAAAGAAATATATCTCTTTCTTCAATAATTTTCTTTTTAAATCCACTCCATTTGTAAGTTAGCACAGACTCCACACTGAACCAGAAAGTAAGAAGGAACAGGAGCTCAACAAGAACTGACTGAACCAGAAAGCTTTGTGATCCTTCCTATCCTGCCTGGATGATTAGTTCTCAGCCAGGCAGAACGAGAAAAAACGGTTCCCATTACAGACTAGAAGGGTGAATATATTAGCCCCCAATTTCCTGGACTTGGGAGCAGGTGCTTTTTTTTTTTTTGAGACAGAGTCTCACTCTGTTGTCCGGGCTAGAGTGAGTGCTGTGGCATCAGCCTCGCTCACAACAACCTCAAACTCCTGGACTCAAGCAATCCTCCTGCCTCAGCCTCCGGAGTAGCCGGGACTACAGGCATGCGCCACCATGCCCGGCTAATTTTTTCTATATAGTTTTAGTTGTCCGACTAATTTCTTTCTATTTTTGGTAGAGACGGGGTCTCGCTCTTGCTCAGGCTGGTCTCGAACTCCTGAGCTCAAGCAATCCGCCCGCCTCGGCCTCCCAGAGTGCTATGATTACAGGCGTGAGCCACCGCGCCTGGCCGGGAGCAGGTGCTTTTTAAGGAAAAAGAAAGGTGGCTGTTTTATTATCATGACTGTAAATATAATTGAGCAAAGACTATGTGATGACAATTACCAGGACTAAAAATTAAAAATTCAGGCCACCATCCAAATTTTTAAAAATATATGAATGTCTGACATAACATGGCTACAATGGTCAAATCAATTCTACAACTATAACCTTCCTCTTTATTTAGATCTGGGTAGATATCACCCAGATATTGAACTTTGATGAGCAGTCACTTACCAAAGGATCTGGGTAGATTTCTGGATCTAAGTGCATTAACTGTGGATAGAGAGCTATGATGTCATCTTCCCGAATGTTATAGGATCCGTCCTCCAGGTGCAAAGTGAAATCCTCCTTAGCTGTCCGGATGTTCAGGGAGGCACTGGAAAGCCTCAGAGATTCCTTGATGATACTGTCTAAATATTTTAAAAGGAAGAAAGGAAAAGAAGGAATGAAGGAAGGGAGGGAAAAGAACACATCAAGTATTTGAAGGCCACATCATACAGAGTCTAAAATACTTCTGGCAGCCCATAACACAAAGATGAACCAACTATGAAAAGCTGGTCAGATAAAAATTTCCCAAAGTTTTTTTCTATTACCACTATGCTGTTATCAATGATTCAATTGTGTCTGAATGTATTTTTTAACCTGATCATCTGAGTTAATAATAATCTTTTGATAAAGATATAATCTTCTTGGTCATTAACGGGAAATAGGTTTCCAACGTTTTATGAAAAAATAACCTTGTTTCTATATGATACTAAACATCTCATAAAATTGGAAAAATCAATAACTCATCTGTATGTGAATTATTCAAAGTTGATCACTTTTGAGATTTAATATACTGATAACAGTTTTATATAGATATATTTTCCAGATGTTAAATGCAGCTTCCAGTTTTTATCCGTCCACTACCTGGTGCTGTATGGTGATGCCCTGCATCTGGTGAACATGCAAAGGGACCAAGAACTACCCCAAGAATGGCCGAAGTACAGAGATCTCATGAGAGGTCCAGCCTGGCCTCTAGCTTTATCCTTTAACTGCCACGTTTTAGGTGCTCAGCACATGATTGTATATGAAACCACAGAACGTTAGACCTTTATTTTACAAATAAGACAAGTAAGGCCCCCAAAAGAGAAGTGACATGTCCAAGATCTCCCAGGTCAGGCTCAACAGGAACTTAAGCTTCCTGCTCCTGTCCCTTCTGCAAAGACACACTGCCCCTAAAAGCACATATTGGTTTCATTCCTTTAAACAAAATAACAAAACCAAAAAAAAAAATGTTCTTACTATAAACATATCATACTTTTATATTTTTATAAAATATAGAAAAGCAAAACAAAGAAAAAATCAGATAGCCTTTACTTCAATTCCACCACTGAATCCATGCAGCTAATTGTGGTTTCTTGATGGTACATTCCCCCCGCCTTTGTTTTACAAAAATGAATAAGATGCTTCCATTAACCATAAGGTCAGCGGTAAGAGAAATATGGGAGACGTGGTGGGGCAATGCAGGGTGGTGACTGAGAGCACAGGCTTAAGGGTCCTGCATTAACACTGCAGTTGGCTCCATCATTCAATCCCCAGGCAGTAGCTCAACATCTAGGTGTCAGTTCCTCTCTTGGTATATAGAAACAGTAATAGTCCTAAGTCATAGGATTGTTGTGAGGATTCAGTGAGACAACTCATACGAAATACTTAGCTTAATGCCTAGAACTCAGTTAGGTGCATAATATATGTTGCCCATTACTGTTAGTAGTGGGACACAGTAAATGAAATGGAGCATGGCAAGCTCACCCACCCAGTACCGGCAGGTCATTCAGCTGCATCCGAGTCAAACAAATAGGACTGCCTCCAAAGCTGACTTTTTGACCAGCATTCTCTAATGTTTTATTCACTTCTTCAGTAGCTGCTTTCATTGCTTCAGGATTCCTATTAAAAGAAAAAAAAAGATGTACAGAAAATAACCTTTTTCCACATCCTAACATGTGCAAATACATAGGCCTTTGCCCCCTTTTTTAACTAGGTGGTCAAGATGTCAGGGAAAGAGGAAAAGGAACATTCCTGTTTCCTTTCACTCCATTTGTAACTGGGTTTATGTCCTTGGATATTAGCAAGAACGGTCACCTTAAAAGGGCTTTGCTATGTAAGAGTGAAACAGTCAGACTTCTATAAATAAATAATTCCAATAAGGATTAGACAAAGTAGTCATATTTAGACAGTAATTTAGAAGGAAATTTTCATCTAAGATAGCAATTACAAAGTATTGATGAAATTCCAAACAGAAATTTAAATTCATTCTTAAAATTCATGCCATGATTTCAGGTAGAACAACAGCTTTTCCATTTATATTATAATTGTGAATTGTGAAATGAGGGCTACTTCATTTTTGTGCATGGAACTTTATTGGAGTCTCAGTGCCATCGTTAGGGGATCTATATTATATAGTTACAGTAAATTGAGTCTCAGAAATGTTTGACTGATAAGTACTTGTATCACTATCATAAAATATGGCTATGATTATCTTTATGATATTAAATTGATATTAATGCCCTTCCTGTAAATACGTGCATTTATTATGGAGGAGCTTTCTCAAGTAATAATTTTGGAAGATATTTTAATATTTGTGACAAATTAATAATGGGTTTTATATATGTAATTAAATTTTAATATTTTTTATATAAAATCACCAGACATCAATGGAAATTTGGCATTCTCAATTCTATGGAATAGTAATTTTGTGTCTACATGATACTAAACATTCAATTTAATTCAAACAATCCAATAAACCATTTTAATTTCAAATTCCCAAAAGACTAACACTTTGGAAAGAAATCATGCTATGTAAAATATGTTATATACAATTGTTTTGTTACACAGAATTTTAAAAGGCAAAACCTAGCTAAATCTCTTATCAATGATAATAGATTATGATTGATTCATAGCTACCATAGTTGGTCAAATAAACAGTAAGACAACAATTACTAATGGAGCAAAAAAAAACCAAATTGTGAATGCACAAATGAATAAGGCATAGGCACCGCCCTGATCATTGCCCCAAAGTCAATAATCGCTTAAATATATTTTTATGATTGTGAAGACTGCATTCACAGACCTCGGTCAGCGACATAGGGAAGAGTGTGGGGTTAAGAGCAAGGGCTCTGGGCCAGCTGGCCTGAACTGACCTGCTGCCAGCACATGGAGCTCTGAGGCTTGGAGGACGTCCCTTTCTCTGGGACTGTCATTGTTTCTGCAAAACACGCTTACCAGTCACAGCTACTGATGGTTTTGTGAGGATGAATGAGCCAATACATGCTAAACATTTACAAGCGTAAGTACTACACTGTTGATTGATGACATGAGAAAGTACTATGTTTCTTTTTTTTTTTTTTTTGTAAGTTAAAATGGTTAAAGAAAAAGGAAAAAAGGGAAGAAAGAAACAGGTAGGTTGCTGGTCACCTAATCATTTGAAATAAGCTCCAGAAAGTCGCCGGAATGGTGTTTGCTTGCGACGCCCAGAGGATTGCGAGGTGCGTCTTGGCCTTCTCCAGGTCATCAAAGGTGGACACCGTGTCATTGAGCAGCATGCGCAGGCTGACCAGGTCTGAGACGCGGTCCCTCTGCCGGAGCTTCTCGTGCTTCAAGCTCTCCGCCAGCCTTTCCCGCGCTCTGTGCGCCGTCTGGAACATGCGAATGGGGAGGCCTGCTACCAGGGCCGGAAAGACCTTGTCAAATTGCTTGAAGTTGTCGAGGCTGTTCAGAATATGTGCTCTTTGTGAGTCTTGCCTCCCAAGGTCTCTGCCAAAGAGAGTCAGATACCCCGCTTCGAACATCACTCGGTAGCAGAAGGAATACATCCCTTCCGTCACCCAGGCAGCGGCCTTGGACTCGGATGAGACTGGAGGTCTCATGATAAGCTGGAGGTTTTCCATCATGGCATCCGTGAGGGGATTCAAGGCATCGCCTTGCAGGGTTTTGGTGAAAGTGTCGTTTATGTTTTCACTGATATTTCCATCGCTCGGGTCAATGCTTCTGTGCCCAAATGCCTGACAGCAAATAAAACGTGAAAACAAAGAAATGAAACCTGACCTAGTACTAGTAGATGACCGAAACATCGATTAGATACTTTCATGATCCCTACTTGTCAAAAAAGGGAAATTGACCTTCCCACATACAATTTCTTCATATTTTACAAATAAATGGCAGAATCATACCTTTCTTTTAGGGCACAAGTTTAAATTCCAGTTTTTCAGTGAAACTCCTTGGACCACTCAATTTGTCTATTGCTTATTTCTTATGTTAGTGAACTTATTTGCACACTATTTGCACATTAGCTAATTGATAATGTTTTTAGATCATTAGTTTTCTATTTTACATTCTTCATAGATGTGTTTTAACCAAACTTTTAGCTTAGTGGCAAAGACCATGTCTAATATTTCTTTGCAAAAATTCAGTAAGTATTGATTAATGTTTTTCTCTATCATAGAGCTTCTTAGGCTACATCTAAATGATGCCAACATATCTGGCCAATTCCTTAACAAAATGGAGCATGCGTGTGGCATGAGTGTGGTAAAAAACAATCATTAAATGTTAAGTTTTCCACCACACGCACTCTGGGTACTGTGTAGACTCTGCGGATATGATGAATTTGCATCTACATTTCTCATACAGTTTCATCTGGCTCAGTAAAGGATTTAACCTTTATTTTATCCTCATTAACTGGTTAACAAATGAGAAATCTATAATTATTTTGATTTTTTAATGATTAATACAAAGAAGCTATGTCTACTTTTATTCATTTATGTTTCTAAGAATCTCCACATGAGGATAATTTTCTTCAACTCCTCTATCTTAAAATCTAAGTACATCAAAATTACTAAATAGATTGACATATAAAAAGATAGGAAAAAAAAACAGAATGCTGTATAAATACAAAACTGGTTACCTTTGCAGAAGTAGCGAAGTGAAATTTTTTCCAATCAAAATATTTTCCATGACACAACACCTTATGGTACGACAAGGGATTTGTGATGAAGTGGACATATTTTCCCATTAGTTTGCAGGTAAAAACATGACCATGTTTCTTTTGATTTTCTCTGAGGAACTCAAGAGGATTGGCCCCAAATTGCAGAGCACAGCCCAGGTATGGAATCAACCCATTCTCTAAAGGTGGTTCGCCCTTTTGCCTAGAAGACACAAATGTATGACAGCTATGGGTAATTGCACATTTGGTTTTTCATTTACATTAGGTTTACAAATTTTTACCACTGAGTTCAAACTTAAAAACTCTACAGTTTACAGATACTTCTTTCATTAATGGGGCCCTGCTCTTTTACTACAGTAATAGATTATGTTAACCTAGTAACATGATACGTTGGTGAAAATGATTACTAAATCTATCCATTGATCTATCCATGTATACATTCAACAAACACTTATGAACTATGTCCTAGTCACTTTTATAAAGATGGGAGTACAAGGATCTATAAGGCCAACAAGATTCCTGCTCTCAGTGTATAAACAAAATTACATTCTAGTATATATTTTTTTTTCTAAGCATCATTTGTCTAAGTATCTCAAAATGTTTCATTTGGTTGTTTTCTTTAAAGATGTAGAACACTGACTAATAGAGAGGATTGCAGAATTGAAATTTTCAAAATCTTAAAAGTTTAAAGATATTATTATTCTGTAATAATAGTTGAAGAGAAGGAGAATCTCATTTAAGAAATTATCTTATTATAAAATGAAGTTGAGAAACATTGAGAGGATCATCAATTGTAATTCAATGTTTTTTCATGCTGTTTTAAAATGTTTTTATTAGGAAATATAAATTTATTTTACAGCATCAACTACTGTCCCTCTTGATAGAATAATGTAGTATAAAGTAATTATTTTCATTTTCTTAGTTTGCAGATAAGTAGTTTAATTAAAACTACAAACTATTAGGCCTACATTAAAATACCATAGGACAAAGAAGCTTGCAAAAGGTAAACACACATAGCAATCCACATAGCTAAGGATATGTTGGGGGCTGTTCCTCTTTTTGAGGTTGACATAGCAGAGAGTATCTATATATTCTCTCATCCAAATACTCTTTGAGCCAATCAGAAGTTAAATAAACTATGGCTCTGGATCTGACTCTATTTGTTTTTCTTGTATTCTTGAACCAACTGTAAATAAATCAAATTGATGTCCCATACACTTAGCAAAGTTTCCCAATTCGCCAGGGTTGATGAACATTAATAAGAAAAGTATAATGAAAGCCTGAACTCAGGCTTCATGCTGTTGTCCAGGCTTAGGCTGAGTCTATGCACAAGAATGAGCTGAAAAGAGAATATTTAGTCAGAGCACCTATTTAATTTATGTGATAGAAACCCTTTCCATTACAGATTTCCACTTGCTACTTGTATCATTACTAATTTGGGAGTCTTTTTTACATATGAACATAAATACACACAGAGATCGTATACAATTTCTGTCAGTTAAGTTTAACAAGTATATACATTTATACATTACCATTAGTATATGCCAATACTAAAAAGAGAAGCTGACATTATATATTTTGTTAGACACAGTTAAAAAAATATCATTTTTAAAATTTAAATGAAATTTTTAATTAAAAAATTAAGGAAGAAAATGCTAATGTGTATAAGTATAGAAAATAAAATTTATTATATCATAATTAAGGTAAAAGAACATTAAATGAATGCATTAAAAGGCAATTTAAAGATAAAACTTTCCTTACCTTCTCCTCATTCCAAGAATCAGCAATAAACAACAGCACACTGCTGCAACAATCCCCAAGATCAAAGACATGGTCATCATTTTGCAAATCTAGTGTAAAACTTCTGAGGAGGAGAATCTCTGACTACAAGAATAAGGGTGTCACTGAGTAAAGACTCAAGCTAGACTTTTTATATTCATATAACCCTGATCCATTAACTTGAACTTGGGTGACCAAAGCAAACAATTAGCCATTTATTCATCTTATTAGGAAAAAAAGTGGGGTATTAACTGACCTTGAACTAAGTCCACAGGTATCAGAAGAGGTTCCAACACAATCAGAAACCTGCAATACTTGATAAGTTGAAGGTCTCTCAAACACATGTTGACATAACATTCGGACTTGGGGACAACAGCCAATATTATGAGTTTGGTATGTCTATAAAAAGAACAAATAAATCTGTTCAAGATGAACATATCTAATAAATGTGTAAAATATAATAATTTAAAGAAAAACAAGTTCAAGTTATTTATCAAGCTACTAATTTGATCTTTTTACCTTTTGAAGAAGAATCAATTTAAATGGTTTGCCAGAGAGATAACGACGATCAAATTCAGAAGAAAGAGAACTGGGTGAAACATTTCTGTTGCTTCACGCAATGCTTTTACAAAATCATAGATAGTTTATAACATATAGTAACATGTTACTTACTTAACATCCTTAAGAAAGAGAGTATTCCATACATATGCATCTTCCAGATAAATATAGCTTATTTTGAGCATCAAAATTTTATCTATCATTTTTGTAATTAAAATATGTTTATTAATTTTTCTAATTATTAAAGTTATACATTTCATTTCAAATAATTTAAGACTAACTGAAACATATCTTGGTAGAAAGTGAACATGAATTCATAACTTATCCCCCCACATTACTCTCCACTCAGAGCTAACCACTGTTAACCGTTTGGCATATATTCTTCCAAACTTCATTTCTATGCAAATGTAAGTATTAATTGAGATTTATAGGTGCCAAGAGCTGTTGAAAGGGACTCTGGTTATAGGCATTAACAAGACAGGCTCCCTACTCTAATGGAGATTCTATTCCAGTGGAGAGACAGATAACAAAATGTGTTATGAATAAAACAAAATAGGGTAAAGAGAGCTATTGGGGGATGAAGACAACTTTACATAGGTGGGATCAGAGAAGGGCTCTCTGAAAAGGTGGCATTGATATTTGAATGACATGTGAAAATCAGAAGGAAGAAAATATTCCAGGAGCAGGGAGCTGCAAATGCAGATGTCCTGGGTCAAGGATAAACTCAGTGTGTCTAAGGACCATGAAAGAAGAGAGTATCCTACTGAAACAGAGTGAATGAGGGGAAAATGGGTTAAGACAAAAGACAATAAAGGAGGCAAAAGCTAGTTGATACAGGGATGCTTGGGAGTGGGGAGAGAGGAGAGAGATTTTGAAGGGCAACAGGTGTGAAGGAGAAATAAAAATCTCGGGACCCCAAAACTCACTATGGCAAAGGGAGAACGAGGCTTGGGAACTGAGACGTGCCAGCACTGCCACCTTCCCCCAAGCTCAACTCCTCAGAGGTACAGAGGCTTTTTGTAAAAAGTGGAGGGGCTTGGAGGATGACTAAGCAGGTTTTTGGTGGATGGGTTATGGGAGGGAGAAAGGAAGCCTGGCTAGCAAAGATGGTCTTGTTATGTAGAAAAGCCTCAGTCACGGCCCTCAAGAAGAATAGATAGTAGATGTTTCTGCTCAGACCTTTAAAGGTGTCAGACTCTCAGTTAATCTTCGCTGGATTGTATATGCAGGACCTGGCTGCATTTAATGGAGATTCTCTACAGATGCAAATTTCACCCCCTGCATCCCCCACCTCCGCCCCCGCAAAGGCAGCTTTGTAGCATTATTTCTGCCATCTCAAAATATGTCAAAGAAATGTATTTTGGGGTAAAATATTTCTGATTTCCTTCAGCCCTAAAAACCTTTCAAGATATATAGCCCCCTATAAAACAAGCGCATGTTAATTACAACCTTAGGACAGTAGCCTAAACTCCCGAATGTCAATTACAAACTTATCAACAGAGGCGGATCACAGAAGAGATAAATTCCATCCCTCTTCCACCCACCCTTAGAAGACTGCAAAATAGACTATTTCCTATACTCCCTTTTTCTTAAATGTCCATCTTATGTAAAATGTAGATTTACTGAGCAGTAAATAGAGCTTCACCTAAATGCAATCATTTGCCTCACTGCTCGTCCCATCTGCCTTCCATGTTTTTTTTTTTTTTTTCCCTGTATACCCTTCCCTTTAAATACAGAATTCTCAAATCCCTCTGCGGAGAGCCCAGTCCACAGACACTTTGTGGTCGGTACTTTTCCTGGGCACGTCCTCAGACTTTGGCTTAATAAACCTCAGTTGAGTGTCACTCTCGTTTTCAGTCACTTATTACTTAACACAGCTGAGAATACTATTTGTACATTTGCAGTTTGGGAGACCTCCGAGTGTGAGTCTGAAACTAAGGAGAAAAGGTCAGGGTTGGAGATATAAATCTCAGAGCATTTGGATGGTATTTAAAGCCAGGAGACCCTATGAAATCACCTAGGGAGAAAGTAAAACCAGAGAAGTCATAAATAGCATCCAGCACCCAGCCATAGGGCATTCCATTCACAGGGGGCAGTCAGAGAGGGTGAGGAGAAGAGATGGATTAGGAAGAACCAGGAAGAAAACCCAGGGAACGTGATGTCACAGAGGCAAAAGTAGAATGCGTTTGAAGAAAGAAGAGTGATTAACTGTATCACATGCTACTTTGAGATCAAGTAAAATGACAAAAAGTGACCTCTGGACTAGACAAAGTGGAGATACGTGATGACTCACTCGTAAACACCCACACACAAAGATGAGGTTATATTAAAGACGTTGGTTTTTTTTATAGTATTTTAAAAAAACTGACTACCATAACTTGGACATTTTCCATGACTATATATACGCATATACCTCATTATTTTTAATATCTGCTTAGTCTTCGATTGAATAAATGTACTATAATTTATTTAACTGATTGCCTATTAATGGACATTAGGGTTGTTTCCGGTTTGGGCTGTAGATTTGCTTCCTTAAACAGAGATCACAAACCTTTGTATGATTTGTGATCATAATTATTAACATCAATCATTGGAGGGCAGTACGTAGATTTTTCTCAGAATCTATTTAGGTTTTTCAGGGCTTTGTGCACATGAAATATATTTCGACTGATAAGGAAAACCCCATCTGTTAATTGGCACACCAACCACCTGAGATCCCCACCTCTCACGGAAGACCTGCATCAGCATAATACTAACCTATTACCTGGCCCATCAACTAATCTATTACCTGGCACATCAGCATAACACTAAATCTATTATCTGACACATCAACTAACCTATTACCTGGCGGGCATTAACCACCTGACACCTCACCCCCCAGACCACCCCAACTTAATAAAAGTGGGAAAAATCGGGTAGACAGCGCTCAGAATTTGGTGGCAAGGCCCCTCTGAGCCGCCGGCGAATAAACTTTGATTCTCTGACTCTCCATGTGCCACTCGGTCTGTCCTCAGGACCACTTGCTATAACACTTGCTGTAACATTTTGGTTCCCTGACCAGGAAAACCGATAGCGCTGGCCCCTTGAAGCCACCAGTTCGGGGATGGGTGTGACCAGCAGGACCTCAATAACAAAAGCGAACCGGCGCCAACCACCATTTTGTGGAATATCTTCACTCCCCAGGAGCTCCCACCAGCCGCAGGGTCCTGAACTCGCCCGGACACACCGGGGGGAAGGACAAGTCAAATCAGGTCTGGAGGCATCGGACCAGGTAAGGTACAGGGACCCGCCCAAGTCAGGCCCCTCAGACGGCAGAGAGGAGCTCGATCACCTCCTGAGTGCAGGGAATTCCCAGGGCGGGAATGTGTAGCCTCTGCCTGTCTGAATGCGTGAGTGAAGAGTGACTGTGGTTCCACGGCTACGGCTACGGAACTTGAGCGGGTCCTCACCTGCGGTTCTGCGGCGGTGTCATACAGCATAACGGTGATTCACTCCCCTAAAGGGAGCAACCAGGCCCGGGGTTTATACAGGCACACCTTCGCCAAGACACGCCTAAGTTCCCACAAGGGTCGCAGCCAGGCGGACACCTGAGAGAAACCCCCTCTTTGTCTGTTGAGCTGCCACACCATTCAAGGGTCTAGGATGGGTAGCGTAGAATCTAAGCCTACGGTTCTTAAATGCATGTTAAGGAACTTTAAGAAGGGTTTCATGGGAGATTATGGCGTCACACTGAGTCCCAGTAGACTTAGGCCTTCTGTGAACACGAATGGCCCACATTCGGGGTTGACTGGCCCGCACAGGAACCTTAGACCTCCCGACCATGCGAGCAGTTTGGAGAATTGCGACCAGGACTCCCGGCCACCCTGACCAATTCCCTTACATAGATTCATGGCTAGAGATTGCTCAGACCATGCCCCCTTAGGCCTGATTCTGTGCTAATAAGGGACAGAGCAGGATTTTTGTGGCCCAAAGGACCAGAGACTCCAAACTGTCCAAACCCATCTATCAGGAAGTTCCTGAAGAGGATCCACCATTACCGCCCTACAACCCTACCGTGACACCTCCTGAAGTACCCTCGAATCCACCAGACACCCCGCCACCGTCAGTCTCCCTGCTGCCAGTTCTGGACCAACCTGGTGCCGACACTCCCATCACCCGCCCACTACGGTCAGCTCAGGCCCCAGCTTCAGCCCTCCAGATGCCCCTGCGTGGGGTGCAAGGTCCGATGCAGGTTACGGACGATGGGTCCGTTCAGCCAGGTCAGCCAGTCTTGTACTACCAGCCCTTCTCCACCACTGACCTTCTGAACTGGAAGCACCACACCATGCCATACTCTGAAAAACCTCAGGCCCTCGTTGACCTCCTGGAATCCATCTTTCAGACTCACCATCTCACTTGGGAAGACTGCCGCCAGTTCCTTCTGACCCTTTTTAACACAGAAGAACAATGCCAGATTGTAGCTGGGACCCAGAGGTGGCTCCAGTACCAGACTCCAGCAGGGACCCTGGACGTGGAGCAGTGGGCACAGAGAGCAGCATCCAAGAACAGCCAGGATTGGGATTTCAACTCCCCGAGTGGAAGAGAGGCACTTGGAAGGTATCAGGAAGCTCTCCTCCATGGGGTTCGGAAGGGAGCCACAAAA